GAATAATTGTCATCGATTGTGGACTTATTATATTGTTGATGTTTGTGGACTTTGTATTATTTTATTGTTTGTTTTTGTATTTGGAAATATTGTCATTGTTTGTGGATTTAGAAAAATTTTCATATGTTGTGGAGTTAGTATTATTTTATCCTGTGGACTTGTAATAATTTTCAATGTGTGTGGACTTGGTATATTTTTCATATTTTGTGCTTTGAAATATTGTCTTTGTTTGTGGACTTAGTTTTTTTTCCTCTTGTGGAATTGGACTAATTTATGTTTGTGGACTTGGAAAATTTTTTTATCCTTTATGGACTTAGAAAATTTTCATGTTGTGTGGACTTAGAAAAATTTCATGGTGTGTGGACTTAGTATTTTTTTGTTGTTGTGTGGACTTCGTTTTTTTTTCCTGTGTTGTGGACTTAGAAAATTTTTCGTTGTTTGTGGACATAGAATAATGTTCATGTTGTGGACTTAGAAAAATTTTCATCCTTTGTGGACTTAGAAAATTTTTCATGGTGTGTGGACTTAGTATTTTTTGTGGTGTTGACTAAGTATGTTTTTGGTTGTGTGGACTTAGTAAATTTTTCGTTCTTTGTGGACATAGAAAAATTTTCATGTTGTGGACTTAGAAAAATTTCATGGTGTGTGGACTTAGTTGTTTTTGCTGTGTTGTGGACTTAGAATATTTTCATGTGTGTACTTGGGTTTTTTTCATGTCATGTGGACTTAACAAATTTTTCGTTCTTTGTGGACTTAGAAATTTTTCATGTTGTGTGGACTTGGTATTTTTTTTTTTGTGGACTTAGTATTTTTTCATGTGTTGTGGACTTAGTATTTTTTTGTTGTGTGGACTTAGTATTTTTTTGTTGTTGTGTGGACTTAGTTTTTTTTCCTGTGTTGTGGACTTAGAAAATTTTCCATCCTTTATGGACTTATAATAATTTCATGTGTGGAATTAGTATTTTTTGTTGTTGTGTGGACTTAGAAAATTTTTCGTTGTTTGTGGACATAGAATAATTTTCATGTTGTGGACTTAGTTTTTTTTTCATGTCATGTGGACTTAGAAAATTTTTCATCCTTTGTGGACTTAGAAAATTTTTCATGGTGTGTGGACTTAGTATTTTTTGTGGTGTTGACTAAGTATGTTTTTGGTTGTGTGGACTTAGTAAATTTTTCGTTTTTTGTGGACATAGAAAAATTTTCATGTTGTGGACTTAGTTTTTTTTCATGTGTTGTGGACTTAGTATTTTTTTGTTGTGTGGACTTAGTAATTTTTTGTTGTGTTGTGGACTTAGTATTTTTTTGTTGTGTGGACTTAGTAATTTTTTGTTGTGTGGACTTAGTATTTTTTTCATGTGTTGTGGACTTAGTATTTTTTTGTTGTGTGGACTTAGTAATTTTTTGTTGTGTGGACTTAGTATTTTTTTCATGTGTTGTGGACTTAGTATTTTTTTGTTGTGTGGACTTAGTATTTTTTTGTGTTGTGGACTTAGAAATTTTTTCATTATTTGTGGACTGTATATTTTTCATGTATGTGGACATAGAAATATTTTTTCTTCATGTGTTGTTGTGGACTTAGTATTTTTTTTGTTGTGTGACTTAGTATTTTTTTCATGTGTTGTGACTTAGTATTTTTGTTGTGTGGACTTAGTATTTTTTTGTTGTGTGGACTTAGTATTTTTTTGTTGTGTGGACTTAGTATTTTTTTGTTATGTGGACTTAGTATTTTTTTCATGTGTTGTGGACTTAGTATTTTTTTGTTGTATGGACTTAGTATTTTTTTGTTGTGTGGACTTAGTATTTTTTTGTTGTGTGGACTTAGTATTTTTTTCATGTGTTGTGGACTTAGTATTTTTTTGTTGTATGGACTTAGTATTTTTTTGTTGTGTGGACTTAGTATTTTTTTCATGTGTTGTGGACTTAGTATTTTTTTGTTGTGTGGACTTAGTATTTTTTTCATGTGTTGTGGACTTAGTATTTTTTTGTTGTGTGGACTTAGTAAATTTTTCGTTCTTTGTGGACATAGAAAAATTTTCATGTTGTGGACTTAGAAAAATTTCATGGTGTGTGGACTTAGTTGTTTTTGCTGTGTTGTGGACTTAGAAATTTTTTCATTATTTGTGGACTGTATATTTTTCATGTATGTGGACATAGAAATATTTTGAGCATAATAAAAGAAAGTATATAATCAATGTCTTTATTTTTCCTAAGTTAACATACAGCCATATTGGATTTGGAGAAGCAAAGCATGATGTTGTAGAAAACGGGATGTCATAGAAAACGGTAGTTTTGGAGCCAGAGAAAATTTCCCATTTTCTTTGATGGTTTCCCATTTTCTCCAAGTGAACAGAAAACGGGATTTTTTTCAAAGTCGCTATCTTTTTAAGATAGGCTCCAGCCATCCTTCTTTTTTTTAACTGTTTTAAGTTAGTATTTTAATGTTTTGTTTGCAAACTGACTTTAACCATATTGACAATAGGTTTAGTCATAAAGCTCTCTCGACACAGATATCGTGTCTATGGACTAGTCGTGTGATAGATCGACAATGTCCGAGCTTTTGTTTGCAAACAAACATCAAAACACCAACTCACAACCAATGAGGAATAACTACTCTCTCAGTTGAAAAATCACCTTTGTTGCTCAATAAACACTCTAAACAACACCACATGTGTTCCCGTGTACCTGTCAGAAAAGGGAGAAACAAAAACAGCATTACAAGTCAAATTATTCAACACATTAACTAATCTCAATGCATTTCAACATCTTTTTTACTTTACATATAATCATATTACATCAACTAATCTCAATGATGCGTTTCAACATCTTTACTTTACTTTACATATTACATCAATGATGCATTTCAACATCTTTACTTTACTTTACATATAATCATATTATCTCAATGATGCGTTTCAACATCTTTACTTTACTTTACATATAATCATATTACATTAACTAATCTCAATTCTTCACACATTACCTTCATCTTCTCATGTCGCTCCACTTCTTCTGGTGCCTAATCACTTGTCGTCGTCATCTTCTACCTTATGTGTCACTCAAAATGCACATCAGGCAATAAAGAAAACACAAAATTCAACTCAAATACATATATTCTATACACTTAGCAATATAATACAGTACAGTACATCATCTTCATAGGGACAACACCTATGCATTCACAGAACATCATCTTCTCGGCTCCATACACCCAGGACAACGGCTAGAAGTTCACGCGACAGCTATACATTCACTGGACACCAGCTTCTCGGCTCCATACACCCCGGTCAATGGCTATACGTTCACAGGACATCATCTTCTCCCCTCACTGGTACCACGGCTATTAGGTTCACAGGACATCTTCTCGGCTCCAGTCACGACACCTATACCTTCACAGGACATCATCCTCTCGGCTCCATACACCCCGGTCACTGGAACACAGGACATCTTCTCTGGGACAACAGCTATACATTCACTGTACACCATCTTCTCGGCTCCATACACCCCGGTCACTAGAACCACGGCTATTAGGTTCACATGACATCTTCTCGGCTCCAGTCACAGGGACGACGGCTAGAAGTTCACGGGACATCTTCTCGGCTCCAGTCACAGAGACGACAGCTATACATTCACTGGACACCATACACCCCGGTCACAAGGACAACGGCTAGAAGTTCATGGGACATCTTCTCAGCTCCAGTCACAGACACCTATACATTCACTGGACACCATCTTCTCGGCTCCATACACCCCAGTCAATGGGACGACGGCTATACGTTCACAGGACGCCTTCTTCTCGGCTCCAGTCACAGGGACGACGGCTATACTTTAACAGGACATCATCTTCTCGGCTCCTTACAGCGACTTGACTTCGCCCCGTCGCTTCAATCTGAAACCGACAAAACACAACAATGGAGGTCAACTCGTAATGGCCTTTTCTATCAAATGCAGTCCACCCGTCGGCTTCGTCACTCGGGAAACTCTTCATGGTGCTCTTCTTATACTACCTACAATATACACTTCACGGCCACACTTCTGGGCAAACTATCATTGCTCAAATAATTCACCCACAAAAACACTATCTCTTGGTATGGAGCAACCTCCGCGGTTATTCCCGGCTCCGTCGTCGACGTGCCTCTTCCTTTCTTCGTAACCGCCGAGGTAAATGCACAATACTTGGTCGTCTCCTTCCTTACTCTTACCACGAGGAACATACCCTACACCACTCGCTCCACTGAAAAAAAAAACATCCATAATAAACACCATTCCAAAAAGTGTTCATGCATACACTCTCTTAGACATATCTACCAAAACCAAATTGCTTCCTTTTAAACCGCTACAAATACCAACATACACATACTCTACTACAAACCATTCACCAAGGCTAGTACCAATCATTACACAGCCTCCAGTGTGTAACAACAATACTAGCCTGCTACCAACTAACTTCTATACAATTACAATACATACCCACAACAAATTCACCTTTCATCTTAACCAAATTCAAACAAACGCTTCCTCTTTAACACAAACAATCGGCTCCTTACCCTTTCGCTCCCATCTCCGTCGCCGAATAACCACTGGCTCTTCCACCATCACTGCCGCTTACCACTCCAATCCGGCCTAAAAAAACAAACACATTAGTTCCCCCACAACAATTCATAAACCTTTCACGCCCTAAACCGCTCCAACGCCACTCACCAATTATATATATATGCCTCTACACTAGTCCCAACATTTCTATTACCTGCTACATCCATTCTCCACATATACTAATCCAAAACTAACCTACAATTTACATCACTATACACGTCTTCCAACAATTACATTATACTCAATTTCTTACAACTAAATTCACTATGACCCTAAACTATCACAAACAATTCACGATGCACCACACCACACTACTTATCTTAAACAACTGCCGCCACTGCTGCTTCCGCCGCCGCCGCTGCTACTGCTGCTGCTTCTTCTCCTCAACACAGTCCATTGCACAGCCCCATACATGTAGTAGTCCAACCTGGTTACGGCACTACCCACCACCACTCCATCCTCAAACCTGAAAAACAGAAACCTTTCACACAACCTCCATAATGCACCATGCTTATTTCTCCCAACTTTAAACATCACTGGGTACTGCTACCCGAAAAAACTCCTATATCACTTGCCTCTTATAACAAACTTTACCTACAACTTTCAAATACAATAACAACTCACCTTCAAATAATACATTGCACAATTTCACATCACCGTATCCAGTGTCGACGCGCTCCTCTCCACAATTCGCCCATATTCCTCCACCACCAACATGAAAACAAAAAACAATACGTCAATGTTACAAATGCCCTACTCTTCAAATTATAACAAAGTATACGTACAACTTCAATAACAATACTTACACCTTTACTGCCTCTCATTTCCAACATTCAGTCGAGCGTTAATGTCCCTCTGGATTATCACACACCAATCACGTCTTCTGGACTGCAACAACTCCTGTACAAAACAATTACCACATCAATAACCACGACCAAAGTCCCTCTTCATATCAAACACACCCCACCTTCAACCACTTAACAGTATACATTACCTTTTAGCACATGCTGCACACGGCGACTGGTTACAACACTTGGCTCCTTTCCAACATCGACTTCTCCCCCACCTCTGGATGGCGACCATACTTCCTCTTGGTTAGTCGATACAGTCAACACAACACTATATTCTACTCTAACATTTTTCGATTTCTCATTATCACACTTTTGGAGAATGGGAGGGGCCGAGGGGCATCCCCCCTCACCCCCCCCCCCTTATTCCCATGCAAGGTGAAGGGCACAAGCGCCTACACCGCCCAACTAGGCAGCATGCCAACTTTGTGCTTGCCTAAAGGATCATAGCATTTTATGTCAAGGGCATACAACCCTCCAGTCTTTAACATTTTGTCGGCTAGCTCCGACGACTTTCCCCAGATACGAATTCGCAACTTTCGATTTACAACTGGTACCTACTTTACTGCTAGGTCAACAGGGACACAGGGGGTCTAGGAAGTGTGTCCAACCCACTTTCCACCGGCCCGGGAATCGAACCCGAGACGTCCCGCTTGCGAGGCGAGAGTGGTACCGCTCTACCGCCGGCACCCCCACTTCGGCTGTGACCCCTTGTGAGGCGGGCGTCAGTCAGCTATGGGTACGGTTCCTCGACTAAGTAG